CCATGCACATTCCCACCAACCTCTAGAAATGTAACAAGCTGATTTTTTAATAGTACTGTTATCATCATTATTGTTTTTTTTATTTACTTCCCCTCCTTTTCCCTTTCTTGCATTTCATAGACTGCATAAGTTGGAAATACCCACACTTCACACACTACAACCTCGTTAAACACTCTATATCCTTTTGTATTGTCATGTAACTGTTGTCTTGTCTCCCATGTTTGGTACTGTTTTGTTAATGTTTCTTTGTTTCAATAAAAAAAAGCAGCATTTATTTATTTAGTATTATATTTAATCATTATTATCTGCTGCACTTACCACTGCCTTGCTTTCTTTTCTCCTCTTCCTCTTTTTTCTTCTCATTTTTCACTCCCAGAGGGATAACTTCTCCATTTTCTTTGAGTGGCTTTTGTTGTTGCCAATAGACCTGTTTGTGTACAGAGAATCATGCACTCAGCATGCCACTTGCAATCTGAGTGAAAGGTGGGACCCCCTTAGGGAGGTCAGGTCTCCTACTGTCATTGCAAACTTTGCACATAGCCACTGCTGTAGTTTAAAGTTTGTCAGCCCTCGGGGGCCCCTGGGAGGCCTGGATCCCCAAGCAGTTGCCAGGCCTGCCTGCTGGAAAGAAACGCCTCTGTAATCTGTTTGTGGCTGTGAATGTGACTGAGTGGTTTTCAGTTTCTGTTTGTCAGCTCTGCGGTGGACTGTCCAGTGTGTACCCCGCCTACTGCCCAATGTTGATGAGAGGCATAATACCCCCCACCCTCTACAGAATAAGTGCTATAGATAAAGATGGATTGACATCATAATTTTCAACTAGTGCCATAGGCTTTATCCCTTCTTGCCTTGTATTTGCTACTATTTTCCTACCAGTGGGTTCCAGGCTTTACTTTAGTTTCAGTGAGTTCATCTATTAAACCTTGTAATGTACAGTATGCATATGATTAGCGCTTGAGGGTGGCAGCTTGCTGCTGCAGCTCATGCACTCATATGAGAGTATATTATGCTTGTCTCTTTTTTCTCTCTCTCTTTTTCTTCTTTTCTTTTGAAGTACTTGTGTTTGCTGTTTTGTTTGCACTTTGGACATCAAACCTATAGAGTTTGCTGTGGTTCTTGTTCTATTTTGTTCTGTGTTTACAGCCATGATTCCGTACAGAGCTACAACCTTATTGTGTACACTAGGGATGAGCTGTTAGTGCTTTGTAACACAGTGCTGCCCTATGAGAGACCCAACATCCCCTATGAGCTGAGGAATAAGCAAGGGAGTCCTGTCAGGGCTCTACATCATGCCAGGAGGAGATGGTACAGACCTGCGTTCTCCTCCATCATTATGGGCAATGTGAGATCTCTCCCCAGTAAAACGGACAAGCTGTCAGCACTGACCCATCACCAGAGGGAGTACAGGGCGTTTAGCATCACGCTGTTTACAGATATAGGCATGCAAAGTGTTATTTTCTGCCACATTAAGTGGCCACTTTTACCGCAGCGGTTTATCATTTGTTCTGCAGCATAGCATGTGTTACAATATAATGTCTACAGGTGGCGCTCAGCCTACATTCACAGGTACAGCACCCCATGTATACACAAGCCATAGCCCATTGGCTGCTATATGAATACCTACTTAGAGGTAAAGAAAAAAGTCCTGTGTTTTTGAATGAATGAATCCCTGGATTTTTCTACAGACACAGCAGCCAGTTGTTTCTGCTGAGGGTAGTGAAGCTACTTAAGAAGAAGCTTTATTTATTGTCACTGTGACATGTACAGCAAAATTATGTTTGGAACCAAGGGCCACAGGCTGCTGCGTGTATACACGCTGCCATCACGGGCTTGGTGTCTTGCCCAAGGACATGTCAACTGCAGGCACCGAGATTCAAACCTCAAACCTTCCAGTTGAGAGACAACTGCTCTAACCACCGCACCATTGTCGCTGCACTTCTGATGCTTAAATTCAAGTGTGTTTTGTGTTTTTCTTTAATTTGAAGTCACTTTGAGCATTGCTCTTTCTTAACCACGATGTAAGAATTGCCATAATAAAACTACTCAGAGTATCTCTGAGAAAGGAAGACACAAAAACCATTACCTTAGTGAGGAGATAAAGGATGAGGAGATTCATTCTGAAAGCTCTTCTACCATAATATCTATTTATAAAGTCTCCTTTTTGCTTAATCTTAATGATGAATCTTCCATGGAGACTAAAAAGAATGATTTGTTTGAGGATTTTCAGTTCCAGATTTCAATTTGTTCATTGTAGTTATTATAAAGTGTTACCGACTAAAGTTAGTCACGGTGTTCCACAGGGCTCTGTGTTAGGTCCAATTCTCTTCACTTTATATGTAAGTCTGGGCCCAGTGTCAATGTGTGTCTACACCATCTAATCTACAAACTAGTGTTGTCACGATACTGGAATTTGTTACTTCGATACGATACCTTGAAAAATATCGATACTCTGTACCATTTTCGATACCGCGGAGAAAAAAACTGCCACAATATTAAGTGGGGAATTTTTTTTTTATTCAAAGATAAATATAACAAGTCTAGAACATGACACTGAGGTATATTTTACATGAACAAAAATGTCGTGAGGTAGTGTTCAAACGCCTCTCAGATTGCCATACATTCAAAAACCAATAAAGTGCAAGTAAAATAAAAAGTGCAATCTTTTGTATTTCCAGGTAAAATCAAATCCAAACACAGCATCACCAAAAGACTAGTATTCATGAACATCACTAGTTTTTCTCTTCCTTTAGGCAATATTATTAGGAAACATGACATAAATTTCCATTGCTACACAGATGATATTAAGTTATATTTATCTATGAACCCAGATGAATCTGATCAATTGGCCAAACTTCAATCATGTCTTAAAGACATAAAGGCCTGGATGACCTGCAATTTCTTACTTCTAAACTCTGAGAAAACTGGAGTCATTGTACTTGGGCCTGAAAATCTTAGAAATCTGCTGTGTAATCATATAGTTACTTTAGATGACATAGCTCTGGCCTCCAGTACTACTGTGAGGAATCTTGGAGTCATTTTTGATCAGGATATGTCCTTTAAGTCACACATAAACCAAGTCTGTAGAACTGCCTTCTTTCACCTGTGCAATATCGCAAAAATCAGGAGCATCCTGTCTCAGAGTGATGCTGAAAAACTGGTCCATGCATTTATTACTTCCAGGCTGAACTACTCTAACTCTTTACTATCAGGATGTCCCAATAGTTCCCTAAAATGCCTCCAGTTAATCCAAAATGCTGCAGCCAGAGTACTGACAGGAACTAGCAAGAGAG